GTTAAGACCAAAGAAAGAATCTGCTTGCTTATTAAAAATGCAAACATTACCTCAGTCATACAAATAGCCCCAAACTCGCCCAGCCACTGCCTCTGCAGATCACCCACCAGCATTAGCATTACATCATATGACATTATGGAACAATAGTGAACTCTGTGTAACACTTGAACATACTGTTGTGAAAGAATAAACTGTCATTAACTTGCATAAAAGCTTTCTGAAGTCAAACCTGGGGGGGTACAGCCTTCACTGTGTGGCCCTTTTTACTATTTTGAGGAATAGCCTCATCCAGAAATCAGGAAAGGGGGAAAAAAGAGATCAGAGTATAAAGGTGACAATGACAAGTGGCCCAGCAGGTAGAGGGCAGGGCTTTACATTACCGGGCAGCAAAGCAGGAGGCTCTGCCACAAATGCTGCACCTAAAACTCAAAAAGCTTCATACCCATCATGCTATTTCCTATTACAGCTTAGGGATTTTTATAATGGCCTTTGAAAGAATTGGAAACTGAGTGTTATTCTATGACCTGATGCCATCTTAAGATGTGCTATCACTTATAGCCATATGACTTTAGGCAACTGATTTAAGTTCTTGAGCCTCAATGTTTTAACCTATAAAACAGAAAGATCGATAGTCATTATGCGGAGGTACTAGGGGGTTAGCTACTATTATTATTATTATAGTTGTTTTTTTTTTTTTTTTTTTTTTGAGACAAGTCTCGCTTCTTGCCTAGGCTAAAGTGAGTGCCGTGGTATCAGCCTAGCCACAGCAACCTCGAACTCCTGGGCTCAAGAGTCTGCTGCCTCAGCTCCGAGTAGCTGGACTACAGGCACGAGCCACCTGCCCGGCTGATTTATTATATATATATACATATAGTTGGCCATTAATTCTTTCATTTTTATGGTAGAGACGGGGTCTCGCTCAGGCTGGTTTTGAACTCCTGACCTTGAGCAATCCGCCCACTGCCTCCCAGAGTGCTAGGATATAGGCATGAGCCACCGCGCCCGCCTATTATAGTTATATTATTATTTCCACCTAATACTCCTCATTGCCTATCTTTTCTAATCACCATCTACGATGTTTCTTCTTCACAAGTGAAACATGAACATCACTCTACTGGCTTGTTTTTGGTTCTCTGTAGTCTGCTCACAGCCACATGTTGCCATTTTTAGAAACATGCCACTCTCATCAAGGGATTCTCTACCTTCTTAACCAAATCCCAGATAACCTCTTGCTGTAAACTGCTGCTCACAAGCTTTTCTCCCCCACACCTATCTCAATGTTCTTAATAACCAAGGCTTGAAGAGGAAGAAAACAATGGCAGGTAAATAGCTAGTTGATGGCAAAATCTCAATGAAAACCATTTTTCAATGCAACAAGTGCACTAGAGCGACTGGCTGCATCACATTAATTATTCACTTTTAGAGTTCAACTAATGATTTAAATTGGAGGTTAGCTTCCTTAACACCAGGTCTTCTCCTAGATGTTTCCCCTACTAGTCAGTTTTTTTGGACAGAGTCTCACTTGTTGCCCAGCTAGAGTGAGTGCCGTGGCGTCAGCCTAGGTCACAGCAACCTCAGTCTCCTGGCTCAAGCAACCTCCTGCCTCAGCCTCCAAGTAAGGGACTACAGGCATGTGCCACCATGCTGTCTAATTTCTATATATATAGTTGCAATTAATTTCTTCTATTTATGAGAGACTGGTCTCACTCTTGCTCAGCGGTTTCAAACTCCTGGCCTTGCGGGCGCTGTGGCTCACGCCTGTAATCCTAGCTCTTGGAGGCCGAGGCGGGCGGATTGCTCAAGGTCAGGAGTTCAAAACCAGCCTGAGCAAGAGCGAGACCCCGTCTCTTACTAAATAGAAAGAAATTAATGGCAACTATATATATAAAAAATTAGCCGGCGTGGCGCATGCCTGTAGTCCCAGCTACCGGGAGGCTGAGGCAGAAGGATGCTTGAGCCAGGAGTTTGAGTTGCTGTGAGCTAGGCTGACGCACGGCACTCACTCTAGCCTGGGCAACAAAGCGAGACTCTGTCTCAAAAAAAAAAAAAAAAAAAAAAAAAAAAAAATGATAAGTTCAAACTCCGGCTTGAGCAATTCGCCCGCCTCGCCTCCCAGAGGCTAGGATTACAGTGCACCCAGCGCCTACTACTCAGTTTATCATCACAAATGTGAATTACAGTGCCCTGAACAACACAGGTTGAAAGGCACAGTCCACTTATACGTGCATTTCATTTGTCTCCATCACCCCTGAGACAGCAAGACCAACCACCTCTTCCTCCTCCTCAGCCTACTCAATGTGAAGACAACAAGAATGAAGACCTTTATGATGATCCACTTCTACTTAATAAATATATTTTTCTTCCTTAGGTTTTCTTCTTTTTGAGACAGGTCTCAATCTGTCATCTAGGCTAGAGTGCAGTGGTGTCAATAGCTCACTGTATCCTCAAACTCTGGGCTGAAATGATCCTCCCACTCAGCCTCCCAAGTAGCAGGATACAGGCATGTGCCACCACACCTGCTAATTTTTAATTTTTTGTAGACACAGGATCTCACTATGTGCTCAGGCTGGTCTCAAACTCCTGGCCTCAAGTGATCTTCTCTCAGCCTCACAAAGTGCTAGATTACAGCATGAGGCACTACGCGCTGGCCAGCATTTTCTTAATAACATTTTCTTACGTGTTATTTTATTGTAAGAATACAGTGTAAACATAACATACAAATATCAACATTTATGTTATCAGTAAGCTTCTAGTCAATAGTAGGCTATTAGTACACTTGGGAAGTCAAAGAGATGCACAAGGGGGTTGTGCTCTAACTCCCTCATTGTCAAGCATCAACTGTTTCTTTTTTTTTTTTTTTTTGAGACAGAGTCTCACTGTGTTGCCCGGGCTAGATTGAGTGCTGTGGAGTCAGCCTAGCTCACAGCAACCTCAAACTCCTGGGCTCAAGTGATCCTACTGCCTCAGCCTCCCGAGTAGCTGGATACAGGCATGTGTCACCATGCTGGCTAATTTATATAATACACATTTTTTAGTTGGTCAATTAATTCTTTCTATTTTTAGTAGAGACAGGGTCTCGCTCAAGCTGGTTTCGAACTCCTGACCTTAAGCAATTGCCTGCCTCAGCCTCCCAGAGTGCTAGGATTACAGGTATGAGCCACCACGCCTGGCCTCAACTATATTTCTAATGATTAAAAAAATAATCCCAGAAAATTGTTAAATATATCTTAAGGTACTGGTTTTTTGTTTTTTGTTTTTAATATTACCCTAAAGTAGACACAAGAATTGGTCACATAAGGCCCCACCCAGGATCAGAAGAGTTTAGGAGGAAAGAGAATGGAGATCATAGGAAGTAGGGATGTGAAAACTCCAACACAGGCAGTACTAGCTATGTGAAACCCCACAAGGGATTGAGTATAAAACACAAGTATCCAGATCAAAGTTTCAAAACATAACGGCTATCTGTGTCTTTTAATATGATTGTACAAGAATATGTGAAGATGAAAATTTCATTAAGGTTGGCTTCTTTGGAGAATCACATTATTCTTCAAAATAATGAAAACTAAGAAGATGGGTAACAGGATGTAATGTGTTGTTTTATGTAAGAGCCAGAGTGTTTACCAATGTCTAACCCTGAGGCTTGTGGAGAAGAGATTGAAAGCTTCTATTTCCTCATCTGTAAAGCAGATGAAGTTCCGGGAAGAATGAAATGATACATGGATCATCTATAAAGCACCATTTGTTTTTGTTTCAGTGTGGAACAGTGTAACTAATACAGGATTTGACATCAGTGAAGGTTCAAGTTCAACCTCGATATATGCCAGCTGTCTAATCTTGCAGAAATCATTCAAATACATTTAATGATGTAAAAATTAAAGGGATGATATGTATATGTTTGTGTGTGGGAGGGACGTTTTAATGCAAATAGCTATATAAATGTAAGATGTTTTATATTACACCAGGTTAAGTAAACCAGGGCTTTATATCATTATTTCCTAATCTTTGGGGTGGGAGTGAGAATGGAGGGGACTGGGGGGACTCCTACAGCAGAAATATCATTCAGGTAATAGAAAATCATCTCTACCACTTAATGGAGACAGTAAAATAATAAAGTTGTGGCCTTCACATTAAAAGATTAACTACTGGCTGGGCGCAGTGACTCATGCCTATAATCCCAATGCGTTGGAAGGAGGGCTTGAGGCCAGGAGTTCAAGACCAGCCCAGGCACCATAGCAAGACTCCATCTCTACAAAAAATAGAAAAATTAGCCAGGAATGGTGGCACATGCCTGTAGTCCCAGCTACTTGGGAGGCTGAGACAGAAGGATTGCTTGAGCCCAGTTCAAGGTTACAGTGAGCTATGATCACCCCACTGCCCTCCAGCCAGGGCGGCAGAGCAAGGCCAGAAAAAAAAAAAAAGGTAACTACCTACCTTCTACTTCAATACATGCTAATCAAGTGAGTAATCTCTCAAACACATGCTGTTCTCTCATACAAAACAGCTGCCAGGATTAATTACAAGTGTATCAGCAGTGATGGGGGATTTTCTCCATGGATCTGAACTAGTCACCCCATAGTCCAGATCACAAATAAGAATGAAAATCTTTTCATGGAAATATAGCAGGGAAGGGCCAACTCTAACATCATTTGTTGATTCACTCAGTCTCTCTTTTATTCTAGGATCTATTTCAAATGCTAGGGATTCAACAGTGAACAAAAATAGAAAGTTCCTGCCATCATGGAGCTCACATACCAGCAGAGAAATACAGACAGTGAACAAATTTGCAGTAGGTCAATGGTAATTAAATGCTACAGAGAAAAACAGGCAGGGAAATGGACTGCAATTTTAAATAATGCAGTCAAGGAAGGCTTCACTGAGAACATGCCATGTAAGCAAAGACCTAAAGGACATGAGTGAGGCATATACATGTTTGGGGCAAGACTAGGGGACTATACAAACCTCTCCAGCAACTTTAGGTAAGACAAAATGCAACCTCTTACCTTTCAAAAGGGGCTGGAAGGTTGGAATCTCTTGCAGCTTGATGACATCAGGATCGTTGCTGACATTCCGTGAGGCCTGGGAGCCCTGAGCTACAACCACAATATCATCCATCTTGGCTCTATGCTTGGCTGGAGAAGGAGTCACTGAAAATAAAGTTACAGAGCTTAGGAGCTGCATGCTAGTTGGCCACCTCTGCCTTACCAAAGCTGTTTTCAGCATAGTCATTAAAAAGAATAATTTTACACAACAAAAGGTACTTGATCTTGCACTGGGGGTATGGAGATAAATTATGGAAAACCCCTATTTTCTATAGTATTAACAACTCAGGCAGGGCATGGTGGCTCACGCCTGTGATCCTAGCTTTCATGGGAGGCCAAGGCAGGAGGATTGCTCAAGGTCAGGAGTTCAAGACCAGCCTGAGCAAAGCGAGACCCCGTCTCTACTAAAAATAGAAAGAAATTAATTGGCCAACTAAAAATATATAGAAAAAAATTAGCCGGACATGGTAGCACATGCCTGTAGGCCCAGCTACTTGGGAGGCTGAGGCAGAAGGATTGCTTGAGCCCAGAAGTTTGAGGTTGCTGTGAGCTAGGCTGATGCCACAGCACTCTAACCTAGGCAACTGAGTGAGACTCTGTCTCAAAAAAAAAAAAAAAACAAACACCTCAGACATTACAGGAACAGATAACATGTATGAACTTCTTTTATGACTAAATATATTTTATTATTCAGCACACAAAAGTATAGGCCTATTGTTTTTAATTTCTCCTTAATTTTCCTGATCCTTCTGATCCATATCCCTATTTTACAAATGAGAAGAAAAGGATACAATACTTGATTGTGACTTGCCCAAGGTCAGTAGTGACAGAATCAGTTAGGAAATGAACTGCAGGTCTATGAAGTCCCCTAATTAGTCCAATAATCAGTAGGTCCATTCTAGGCTGAGGCAAAATTCAGATTAGTGCACATGGCCCATCCCTGTGACACTGGGGCTGCAAAGCCATCTACACACTCTATCACAGCAGGCCAGGTACATTTTATAAATCTTAGTCATGGGAAAAACCCCTGGTCTCAACACCAGATGATGGGTCTACTCCTGAGGCTCCAGCCCCTCATTCTGGTTTTTTTTTTTTTTGTTTTTTTTTAAGAGATGGGGTCTATGTTGCCCAGGCTGGATTCAAACTCCTAGGTTCAGCAACCCTCCTGCCTCAGCCTCCCAAGTAGTTGAGACTATAGCCCCCCATCACTCTTAAAGTTACAGCATTAGTCCAAGAATGAACTAATTAGTCCAATAATTAGCCATTCTAGGCTGAAGCAGAATTCAGAAATTTGGAGGATTGCTAGAGAGGCAGGTCAAGTTCCTTGGGAAAATGTAATCCATTTGGAGGGAAGGAATTCAAACTATAAAGGAATCCCTAAGCCAAGACATCCTCCTCCCACCAAATATTAGTATTTTCCTAGTTGGAGCAAGAATGAACCTTTAAAGTGTTCTATGCTCCAGAAGGTAATCTCAGGTTCATTATGGTCATGTCTCTAAGACTGATTCAGGGATGCCACAGAACTGCTCCACCTCCTGTAAATTAGAGTCTCCTGAGGCTTGGCAGTCAGACTTTCACAAAAATGTCTGCTTTTATTGCTCAAGAAAGATTTCTTAACCTCTTTTGGTAATTTATCTAACGTTTTACAAAAGCCATGCCAGAAATCTTTCCTGCTACATATTAAGTGTGATTCCTTCCTAGCACTCTGGGAGGCTGAGGCGGGCGGATTGCTCGAGGTTAGGAGTTCGAAACCAGCCTGTTAGCTACTATTATTATTATAGTTTTTTTTTGTTCTTTTTTTTTTTGAGACAGAGTCTCGCTTTCTTGCCTAGGCTAGAGTAGTGCCGTGGTTCAGCCTAGCTCACAGCAACCTCAAACTCCCTGGGCTCAAGCATCCCTCCTGCCTCAGCTCCGAGTAGCTGGGACTACAGGCACGAGCCACCATGCCCGGCTGATTGATATAATATAAATAGTCATATTCAG